ATATTTAATCACCTACTCTACATGGATGATCTCAAACTCTTTGCCAAAGACGACAATGAGTTGAAAGGCCTCCTCTATATTGTAAAATAATTCAGTGACGACATAGGTATGGACTTCGGATTAGATAAATGTGCAAAAGCAACTTTCGAGAAAGGTAGAATTACAGAAACACCCTTAATAGATTTAGATTTTGACACAAAGATTAGGGAACTGGAGCATGATGAAGCTTATAAGTACCTAGGAATTAGCGAAGGAGATGGCATACAACACCCCCAAATGAAGGAAAAAATAAGAAAAGAGTACTACAGGCGTGTACGTCTGGTACTAAATACTGAGCTAAACTCAAAAAAACAGGATATCAGCCATAAACACATTGGCTGTCCCTGTGGTGCAATACAGCTTTAATGTCCTTAACTGGACCATAGCTGAAATTAAGCGAATTGACGCCAAAACAAGAAAGCTTCACACTTGCTATAGCATGCATCATCCCAAAGCTGATGTTGATCGTCTGTATGTGCCCAGATCCAAAGGAGGCAGATGATTAGTTCAACTAGAACTGTCCTACAAAACTACAACAATTGGCCTCCAAAGATATTTGGAAACTACAGAAGACTGGATGATGGTATGCGTCAAAGAACATGAAAGTAGTAAGCGTCTTTACTCCGTAATGAAAGAAGCCAACAAATACAAAATGGAGTTTCAAATGGGCGTAGAGATGCAACTACAGCACAATACACCGACTGAAACTGCAAAATACCTAAAAAAGACAGCAAAGACGAATGCAACTGACCAGATACAGAAGCGATGGCAAGATAAACCGCTTCATGGCCAATGCTCTGCCCGTACCAAACAAGCTGACGTAGACAAAACCCGTACCCATCAGTTGCTACGTAGTGCAGGGTTGAACGCAGAAACTGAAGGTTTTATCCTTGCTGCGCAGGACCAATGCTTGCTAACTAGGAATTATCAAGCACATATACTAAAATATTGTGTCAGCCCAAAATGCAGATTCTGTGATAAATATCCAGAAACGATTCATCATCTTGTATCAGGTTGCACGGTGTTGGCACCCACTGAATATAAAACCCGATATAACAGAGTGGGCCAATATCTGCACTGGAAATTCTGCAACTTATACGTGAAGGAAACTGAAAGAAACTGGTATGAACACCACCCAGACCCGGTTACGGAGATAGGACCTGTTACAATTCTATGGGACTACACAATACACACTGACAGAACAATCAAGGCCAACCGCCCAGATATTGTTATTAAAGACCACAAACAAAAACGGTGCCTCCTTATTGATATGGCAGTCCCTGCTGACTGCAATGTATCTTTGAACATATTCAAAAAGTTGTCAAAATACAAGAACCTTGAAATAGAAATCTCGAAAATGTGGCATATGGGAACATCAACAATCCCTGTTGTAGTTGGAGCCCTAGGACTGGTTGGAAAAGATTGCAGTAGACTAATTGAAGGGATTCCTAGAAGTCCATGCCTCAAGGAGATACAAAAAATTGTCCTGACAAGTACAGCCCACACCTTACGAAGGGCCTCATCTATATAATTTATTTATTTTTTTTTTTTTTGTCAGTGGAAAGTGTCATGACGCCATCTTTAACCTTAGGTCCCTGGGCGGGACCCGGAAAGAAATGTGTAAACGCCAGAAATCAAATCAAATAAAAATAATAATAATAATAATAATAATAATAATAATAATAATAATAATAATGGAAAGAATGCTTCGAATAATTCGGCCTGCTTACCTGACCTTGATATCGGTCCTTGCATGATATCAAACCTAAAAATATAGGGGACTGTCGTACTAACTCCCATCAGAACACTTGGAACAATGCGCGAAAAGAAAATTACTACAGAAACTACCGATCATATTCTGAACTGCTAGCATCCCTGTAGTATCTGTTAGTATACTAATAATAATCTTGCATTATTTAGGTGATTTGCACTGACATGCCCTACAAGGAAAACCTCCGACTACGACAGTGGTACAAACCTGTGTAGATAATAATAATAATAATAATAATAATAATAATAATAATAATAATAATATGCTCATAGATAACTCTCCTATAGTGCCTTCTTTACTCATAGACCACAAGGCAACTTGGAAATTATTCACTTAAAATTATATTCTGTCAAGAGGTTCCCACACAATTATACTACTACTAATAATAATATTAATTAAATGGCAATTCTTCTGTAGGGCCTATGGACCATAGTTTGGACCCGGTTCTATACATCACAAAATATAACATACACAAATAATAATAATAATAATAATAATAATAATAATAATAATAATAATAATTGCATTTCAAACCATACTTTCGCAACCATATTCTATCACTGTCACATTATCAAGGATTGAACTAATCCGAAATGCAGGATCTGCTGAAAACCGTCGACCATATTATTTCAGGATCTCCGGAACTAGCAAAAATGAATATACCCACTGACATAACAAGGTAGCGACATATGTGCAGTGGAAAATATTCAAGAAGCACAAAATCGAAATCAGTGCGAGATGATACGAGCACCAACCAGATATAGTTAATCAAAATAACGATGTAATTATCATTTGGGACATGCCAATTCAAAGTGACATGGAAGTAAGAGGAAAACACACCTGATATTATCATAAAAGACGAGACGATTTTTGACTGCTATGTACCATATGACAGAAAGACTTCATAAGAATTATCGAGAAATTGTCCAAATACGAGGACCTCAAGATCGAGATTAACAGGATGTAGGAAATGAATTCTGAGACTATACCAATAGTAATCGGAGCTCTGAGCCTCGTAAGAAAAGGTATGGACAATTTATTTAACAGTGTCCTTGGTAGCATCAATATGTAAGTTACCCAGAAGATCGTCCTTCTAGGGAGATCCCATATCCTAAGAAAAGGGCTATCAATTAATAACAATTCTCTTTTAGGGCCGAAGAACCATAGTTTGCACCTATCTCTACAGGCTACAAATCAAGAAGCATAACATATACAAATAATAATAATAATAATAAATCTCAAAAATGTGGCACATGAGCACATCAACAATTCTAAGTGTAGTTGAATTGATTAAAAACGGTTCGAATAGAGTCATTTAATGGGGTTCCTGGTAGTGTTAAAAAATACAACAAATTGTACTCACAAGTACAGTTCATACATTATGAGCTTTATTATCAATGTAAATTTGAGTGATCTTAGGTTATTTTTTTTGTTTTGTTTTTTTTTACAAACATGATCATTAGAAAATGCCAGCAAGCCATTTCTAAACTTATGTCTCTGGTTGGGACCCGAAAGGAAATGTGTATATAACAGAAATGAAAGGAAATAATAATAATAATAATAATAATAATAATAATAATAATAATGTTGGAAACAACCCAGAATGCTTATATTCTCTGTTTTTTTTTTTTTAATTTATTGTATTGATTCTTATGTCAGTCTCTACGAGAAGTTTTCGAAATAATACCTTTTAGAGGAAGGAAATATGTTTGTTCCTGGTTTCATTGTTAAAGACGAGATAATCAAGAAATATTGGTCTGATTCCTACAACAAATACTTACATGCCTCATTCGCTTTCTGAATGTCTTTTCTTTCTTTCCTAACTTCATCTCTTTTGTCCTGTCTTTATATTTTTCTTCCTAACAAGAGTGACACATGGAAACGCTAACCTCAAATGTTTTTAATCTGAGAATCGAAAAGTCCGTTTCCCCTTCCCAGCAACCATCAGTATCTTGGTCAGTTAAACGTCTTGGACACCATCCATCTTTCAGGCGTGACCAGGCACCTCACCAATTTACCATTACAAATCAGTTATATCTGATGGAGATGGGATAACCCTTGTAGACGAACAAGTTTTTACTTTTTGACTGGTGCATTCCAGACAAATAAATAGAGACGACGTAATTAGAGAGTACAAGAACTTTTTCTTGATGTTGTCCGCAACGTTGTCGGATGTAATCTATTCCTAAAATCTTTCATGGTATACAGAAACAAGAAGAAATGGTGGAACTGGAATAAGATGAAACGAAGAAGGAAAAGAAAAATAAATAGGGAAAATAAGAAGAAAAATAAAACGAAGAAAAAGAAAAAAAGGGAAAGAAGAGCAAAGGGGGAATACTACGTAAACTCTAACTACTACTTCTATTACTACTAATAGTAATAATAATAATACGAAGCAGAAGAAGAAGAAGAAGAAGAAGAAGAACAACAACAACAACAATAACAAGAAGAAGAAGATGATGATGATGATGATGATGATGAAAAATAGGGGAGAGTTAATTATAAGAGGAAAACAACGAGAAAAAGAAAATGAATTGATGATAATAATAATAATAAGAAGAAGAAGAAGAAGAGGAAGAAGAAGAGGAAGAAAAAGAAGAAGAAGAAAAGAAGAAGGAGATGAAGAAGTAGAAGAAGAAGAAGAAGAAGAACAACAACAACAACAATAACAACATGATGATGATGATGATGATGATGATGATGAAAAAAAATAGATGTTAATTATAAGAGAAAACAACGAGTGAATATGATAATAATAAGAAGGAAAAGAAGACGAGAAAAAAGAAAAAAGAATTGATAAAGAAGAATAATAATAATAAAGAATAAGAAGAAGAAGAAGAAGAACAACAACAACAACAATAACAAGATGATGATGATGATGATGATGATGATGATGATGATGATGATGATGAAAAATAGGGGAGAGTTAATTATAAGAGGAAAACAACGAGAAAAAGAAAATGAATTGATAATAATAATAATAATAATAATAAGAAGAAGAAGAAGAAAGAAGAAGAAGAAGAAGGTAGACTGCGAATAAGAAGAAGAAGGAAAGACTGAAAGAAGAAAAGAAGAAGAAAAAATGAAAAGAAGAAGAAGGAAATGAAGAAGAAGAAGAAGAAGAAGAAGAAAAGAAGAAGAAGGAAATGAAGAAGAAAAAGAAGAGGAAGAAGTAGTAGAAGAAGAAACATTAAAAGAAGAGAAAAGGTAGTAGTAAAACGTGGGGCAGATTAAGAAATGAAAAAAAAATAAATAGGTAAAATGAGACGGAAAATAGAACGATAAATATTAGAAAAGAGAGAAAGAGGGAAAAATAATAATAATAATAATAATAATAATAATAATAATGATAATAATAATAATAATAATAATAAGAAGAAGAAGAAGAAGAAGAAGAAGAAGAGGAGGAGGAAGATGTAGATGAAGAATGTTCTATTGGATGATGAGGCGACCAGAGACGACGGTGGTGGGGATAAAAGAATAATACAAGTGAATGCAGTGTGATGAAATAACAAAAAGGAAAAAAAAAAAACTAAGATGGGAGCAAACAACAGATAACGAAAATAGTGAAAACACCGAATAATGTCTTAATAAATCGTTGAACGAAAATGGCGAGATGCGGTATGAGGGAATTAGAGACTGAAGTAGTTTCCAAACAATGGGAACCAATAATTCAAGTGCAACACACGTCTTAAGCGTCCAAGTAAGTGACACATTCAGGCAAAGACTCTGAAAACATTTTACTCACATCCGCAATGAAAAAGAAAAGAACCATTACATAGAACATTAAAGAAGCTTACATTTTCATCCGAAGGGTAATAACGGCACGTTAACCATAACAAATTAAAACGCAAACTCTGTATCCTATAAAGCCATCAGAAAATATAGTGACATATTTATTAAGTGATCATATTATTTTCATTATGTCGTATTTTATTATTCAATAATAATTTTCACAATAATATCATAATTAGACAATCGATATTATTAAAATTTTCAAGGCATATTCATAGGATAAATACACTGTCACTTCAGCTTAAAATATCTGCTTTGTTTTTTTTTTTAGAAATATTTAAAAGTAATGTGCGTGGTGATATGATTGATTTATTTTTTTAGGTTTTAACAACATTTTGTAGGTTATTTAAAGCCAGAATATGTGATCATATTATAATAGTTTTTTTCAAAATAATAATGATTTACTGATATAAATTCGGTTAATTAACCCATAACTGGGGGAGAAGCTTTAGATTTATACCTTTCCTAATAGTGTTTACACATAAGTGAATATAAGGAACCCAACTTGAAATGAAACTCGGCTTTTCAATCTCCAGTTCTGAGCCGTTATCAATTAAAATAACCGCACTAATTGATTTACAGCAATTGGAATGGCCAAGTCATCACTCATTTACATATTGATCGAATAAGACCTTTTTTTTCCAAACTATACGGCCGTAAGTTTCTTGGTGATATAAGGTTTATAATAAACACGATATTTTTTCAATCTGTTTTAAATAAATATATATCATCATAAAGTTATTAAGATGTATTTTTTAATTTCAGTTGCAACTTGGTTTGAAATCGAATATATCAGCTGAAAAGATGCAAAAATTTGTAAACGCTTTGATTGAAATGATAAGTCACTTATGTTCCATACGTGATACACGCATAAGCGATCACGTATCTTTCGATACATAACTGACGTGGCAGATTTTTTTCCCGCATTAGATTGCCATTTCTTTCTGCGGAAGAATAATTGCCATTCAATGCTTTATAACCCGGTCTGTCCTGCTACGCTTTTCAAATGCTTGATTTTGTTTTCTCATCGTTGACTGAAAAACAAAGTGTTTTTTTTTCTTTAATTAAAAACCGCATTTCACTCTTTTACATAAAACTGGTTTACTAGTTACTTATCTCTTGTAGAATCTTTTTCATATTAATTTACTGGAGCTATATTCTTAAGTTTTATCATTTATCCCCTTCTTTTAGAAGAGGCACGGCACGGCACGGCAGAATTAAATAGAACAATCTACCCCTGTAGACCAAATTAAGAGTTCCGTTCGAAATTCTAATCACCTAAAGAATACCGGAGCGTACAACGGCCGAAACGTTGTGAATATGTCAACAAAGTCTGAACAAGGTAAATAGTGTAAATAAATACGATACCTCATCTTATATATATATATATATTTTAAGATGTTAGTATTACATGAAATATTAAATTCAATCAGTTATGTGCCACGCGTGATACACGCTTAGTAGGTTGCCATTTCTTTCTGCAGTAGACCAGTTGCCATCCAAGGCTATAGAACACGTTCTCTCCTGCTATTTACCCATAGCTGGGGAGAGAATAAAAGGATTCATACATTTCCCAAGCGTATTAGAACGTAAGTGAATGTAATGGATTCGACTGGAATTCGAACTCGGCTCTCCGATTTCTCAATCCGAGCCGCTATTCACCATATCTCCCCGAAATGAAGTGGTAAAAAGATTGAAAATTGCAAAAGAACTTTGAACAAAAGTCAAAGAAACCTAAAAAAAAAAATAATTGAAAAAATTGATTTCAATCAGTAGGAATAAGTGCAAAACATTCCCATCCCCAGATTTATGAACAAAGCATACAGATGCATGCTGGGATTTTTCTTAGATAACATCTTTGATTCATCCGCCATATTTATGTTCTTTCTTGTCTTGAAGTTAGAACGCTGCGATCACTTGTCTGTATCCCTCTTGTGTGTAATCACCATTCTTAATTTGTGATTATGTTTTTTACTATATTACGGTCACTTTGCTTACATTTCTCTTGCATATATTGTTTGCTTACTATAAAATTTCTTTCAATATTATTTATTGCAAACTTAGTCAATTCTCATTGTTAGGCAAATACTGCCAATTGCATTTAACCATGTCTAATTATTCCAACAAAATGTCAGTGTGAAAGCAAATAAAATGGCTTTAATTATGTTACTGATAGAGATTTAACAAAATTTTATAAACAAGGAAATTAAATCGACCACTAAAATTGGAAGAAGTGATTTTACGAATTTAAACTTATCGGAAATATATAGTATGTTGCTCACATTGATTATAACATGACAACAATCAAATTAATACGATTAAGAAAACATCACTAACATACGCATATATTTATCAAAAAGGAAGACTGATTTAACTACCAAAAAAGAAAGACTGATTTAACTACCAAATATAATATTAATTTTACTCAAAATGTCTTACAAATCCTTCACAATTATACACGAGAAAAATGAAATATTTGTATCATTTAGCGTTATACACTTACTTACCAACATCACATTTTCTGTCAATGAAATTATTGATATAATTTTACATAATATGTATCATCAACCTTTAAAAAATGTAAACAAAAGAATTTACTAGCATGCGCAACACACATTCCATTTAATGATAATTTTGTTTAATATCTAAATTCAGACTGATGGTGTTGCTATGGGGAACACATTAGGCCCTCTATTCACTTTCATTTATCAAGTTGAAAACAAAATGATTAATGACGTAAATAAACCCACTATTTATGAATGATATACAAATATTAATTTTATTCAAAAAACAAAAACAAAAAAAAAAACGAAAAAAAAAACGGGAAGTTGTATAGTATTTAAGAAACTGATTTATGGATATAAATATTAACTAACCAGGAATCATAGCTATGTTTGTGACTGGGCTACAATTCCCGCTCTTCACGGACATATAAACGAAGATCACTTAATGTTTGGAGTGGGTATTTCCGGCAGCAAAACTAGAGTTCCATTCAATAATTAATTAAGGTGTGTGTCAATATGAAGAAGCGAATTAATAGATGCCCTTTAGCAAGATTGTATAACGCGGTACAAGACTCATTGAGGAAACAACAAAGAAAAACACTATTTCCATACAAGAGAAATCCTTTGAAAAGCTAACCGTTATTTGAATGACACCTAGAGATTTCAATTAATAAGCCAATAGTAAATGTGCGTTTCAGCATTTCAGAAGTATATATGAATTATGAAAATTAAAAACAATGTTAAAGCAAAAATATCTCTGTTAAAATAAGAAAAAACATAGTTGTTTTAGTCGGCACAGTAGGTAAGTAATATTATAAAGATTTTACAATATAAATCAAACCATGTTGTCGAGTAACTACTGTAGCTGGCATACGCAAGACTCTATTAGTCTAAGATATAATTTCTTGTTTTATATATTTTTTCATATATTAGTAAATAAAAGTTTCTATTTCTTTTATTATTTGAAGACGTGACACCAGCCAAATAAATGTTTATCTATAATTTTTATAAAGTAAACATATTAGCACATTCAAATCACGCTAGTCATTTCCTCAGGCTATTGTATAAGTATATCACGAAAGTATTACTGAGCCTTAGTTATTGTTACGACATCTTCCTAGGAGACTACAAAATGTGATATCAGACCTGCGCACACTAGTATCCTATAATGTTGTTGTCCTCTTCGTTTCGGGTCATATTCGTGCTGCTCAAGAAGTGGGGCTATCCCTGTGCACCGTAGTTTCTCTGTTTAAAAATTTCACCGTCACTGTCACTGCACGATGTTTTAGTGGATTTTACTGGGTGGAGAGCATGACAGGACGTAGCCTTAAAAGGCATGATTATTTTGATGAATGAAATATAAAAAAAGAAATGTACCAAATATTTTTAGAAAGGAATGCATATCAATGTTCCTGCTTAATCCTCCGTGTTTAACACCGATTTAACATTGTAGGAAGTTGTGTGATGTCCATTTGTGCGAGAATTTGAGAGTTATCCTGTAATTCGCCATTACAAAAAAAGAAGACATGTTTTCAGTTTGTAGATGTAAGCTGGTTAAACTGATAAAATGATATATTCAGACATTGAAGCTTGCAAAATGAAAGAACAACGCTTGAAATTGCAAAATAAATCAGTCTATCCCACAATGCAATGAACGATTCATGTGAAGATGTATGAAAAGAAGAAGTCATGAATACGAATTTATTAAAAAATACATCTTGCAGTGAAATGTTTTGGCTCTTTAGTATCACAGAAAACCGTAAAACAAAATATATCAGATCGAAAATCAGTTGGTGAAGTATCCGAGTCCAACAACTAAGCAACTTATAGCAAAATCACGTTGAAATACCACTTCCGGTACGATCACCGACATTAAGCAAACACCTTGATGGGTGACTGCTTGTATATACTTGGTTTTTAAGCTTGTATATGTGGTTGGTGTAATAGATAATGGCACGGAATCGCTCATAAGAGTGGTAGCGTTCCAATACGATATTCACTTAGGCACAAAAACCCTTGGGAAATTTACCACATCCGCCTACGCCATATTAATTAGTAAAATCAGTATTGTCTAGAACGCAGATTCTTTCTATCTAAGAATATTTCCTGGCTTTAAATAACCTTCAGACGGATGACAAGTCATAGTAAAAAAATCAATCAATAACTTATAAAATTATAACTAGGCCTTATTTTATAACAAATCGATGAAGAAAATCGATAGGAATGGTCACTA